AGTGGAACATAACAGAGGGGACAGAACATAACAGAGGGGATAGAACATAACAGAGGGGACAGTGGAACATAACAGAGGGGACAGTGGAACATAACAGAGGGGACAGTGGAACATAACAGTAGTACACAACCACAGAGCCCTACAAACCCCTGTTTTTTGGCGTTTTTGGTGAGGTGAAACATATCATCATCTAAACCTTCCTTAAGAAAAGGAAATCCAATTATTATGCAAAAGAAACGACCAGAAAGCGTTTAAAAAGAACTTGGCCATTTATCTAAATTAAAACAACGTTCAAAAATATACTTTTTTTTAAAACATGGCTTCGAAATCCATTTTTTTAAAAGGATCTCAAAATATCGTAGGCCAAAAATGACGCCCAAACCTGACAAAAAATGGGACATTCATACCATAGGACATCAAAACGTAACACAACCCCCCCCCCCTCCCCCCCCCCCTCCCCCCCCATATCTAATCTAAAAAAGAAAAAACAAAATGGCAGCATGTAAACAAACATCCAAACTATCCGTGTAAAAAAGGACTGCAGCTTCAAACACAGCAGAGCCTTCAACAGAAAACAGAGAAGACAATATACAGGAGCAATAGAGAAGTTAGTGAGAACTTTAAGTATCACTCTGACGTAAATCTTCTCTTAAGCTTAAAGGACAAACAACATTTGACAAGGAGTCAAGAGCACATAAACATACGCGACTCGAACATTTTTGGGACATCGTTCCTGCTATCTCAAAGGAACAATCCAAGCCACAAGAAAATGGGGCTATTTTCCATCTGGTTTTGTTCAAAGGTCGAGCCCGAAACAGGCCATTAAAACAATGCTCACAGCACACAAGAGAACAGACGGTGAATGTTGGCAAGGCAGGCATCCCCCCTGCTCATCAATAGCTTTCTTGACACGAGCTTACATTCACGAATGCTATAAATATGTCAGTCACGACATGGAGGGGTTGATGACAAGCTCCCATAACTACCCATCTCTCAAGCCAACAATCACTGCAGCTATTGTTTCAAGTAAGCTTGATAATTGAATAATAAGATAATTCAAATCCGGACAAATGCCAAGTGCTCCCACAACAGGGATAGAGATATTCTGTTACGTCAGTTGGAAAGGTTAATCACGGATTGCATCATGCCTTAAGAGTTTGCTAAATACTCCATAGAGAGAGACAAAGACACACGCCCATCCCCATGACACTGACATAGGTCTTTAATTACACCACGATATAATATATGTCCTACAATGTACCACACAAAAACACCACTATATAATATATGTCCTACAATGTTATGTCCTACAATGTTATGTCCTACAATGTACCACACAAAAACACCACGATATAATATATGTCCTACAATGTTATGTCCTACAATGTTATGTCCTACAATGTACCACACAAAAACACCACGATATAATATATGTCCTACAATGTTATGTCCTACAATGTAGCGCACAAAAACAAAACGTCCCGGGTGGAGCGTCTCTGTAGAAAGTATACTTGCTTGCATTAGGACGGCAGCCAGGCGAGGAGCAACTGATCCAGAGACAAACAGAAGAAGCTAGAACTACTAGAAGAACTACAACTCTCAACAACCAGCACTCATTAGCTCAGGGACAAACTACTCCAACCAGCTGGAAACTGCCGTAACGGTTCAAACTGGCCCCTTGTTTACCTCAAACTTTTCGCCTATCCGGTCAGGAGAAAAATCCGCTGGCGCAGCAGCCCCTTTACTTGGCAAACGTTTTGGCCTCTCTCACTCTCATGTTACTTCACACTTCATTCGTAACGTCCAGTTAAAGAGAGCGCGCGGGCGGGAAAGGCTCCCTTCTCTCTCGTTAAGATCTGTGAACTCTTCCGGGCATATGAAGCGATTTCCGCGTCAGACAAACAACAGGTGAGATCACGGGGGATGTTTGTATGTTACCCAAGACGAGCACAAGGCACAGCGGGGG